CAAAATACACGTATCTTTGAGTATCCTATATCGAGTAGAGACCGGGGGAAGCAGAAGTCGAAAGAAAGGTTATCTTTTATACATGCCTACACAGAGTTAAGCAATATTTCACAGAAAAGAACTGCCTCCACTTTACCCTGAAGATGGTACCAGTATGTTCGTGTGAAACACTGATGCCCATCTACCAGACTAGGACTACAAGGTGTTATATTCTAAAACATAAATTAGGTCGCGCCATAGCTCAGGCGGTTAGTCGCTGGCTTCCCATCGCGGAGGCCCGGGTTCAATTCTGGGTCTGGTCAAGTGGATTTGTGGTGGACAAAGTGGCGCTGGGGCAGGTTTTCTCCAAGTACTTCGGTTTCCCCTGCCAATCTTCGTTCCACCAATTGCTCCACAATCACCCTCACCTATCATCTGGGGCTGGTAAAACAGGCCAGAAGTGGCCGCAGTACAAGGACTTAGTCCCACCCCACTAGCAATAAAAAAAAACATAAATGCATTTTTTCTCAAGATTTATATTACGTATAACATCGTGTAGTTTGGTAAATGTGTACCAACGTTTCGGAAGATCCTTCTGCTTCTATTTTCATGTACCTGAAGATGGAGACAGTAAGTTCCTTCGAAATTTAGTACCTATCTACAAAACTACGCAACAGCTTACAGTGAGACTCTCAAAACTCAGCTTCCCATACTTAAGTAAATAAGGACGATCGTAAAGTTGCGTGTCGCGTGTCAGACTTGTAGTGACCTTGCTGTTCACATATATAGTTTAATTCCGTTTTAATGGCAGAGGGCCAAGTTGCTGATAAGTAGCTATCTTCCGAGTTTCAAGTTGATGTGTCCTTGTATACCAAGCTCATTTGGTTCTGAAGCTGCAATCACAGACATCACAGTGGATCTGAAGTAACTGCAGGCAGAGATATATGCCAAATACGTATATCTTAACACATTCGTTCGAGCGTGGCCGGTAAGTGACCTGACACTGTAGGACGTAAGAAAGGGAAAGTACCAGCGTACATGTAGTTTATTTTTGGATATAAGTTCTTCCCAGCGGCGACCATGAATCTTCCTGGATTTAATGCCGTGTAGCCCGGTTGAAGTGCACTGAGGTTTCGGAGGAACACATTTCTTCCATCTTCAGTGTCGAACAGTAAACTAAGAAAGAAATTAGCTAGATTCAAGTGACAAGCAAGAGAGCGCTTCTTCATGACTTCCTGCTTGGTTTACTCTTCGACCCGAAGATGGACGAAGTACATGGGGAATATGTACATATTCTATAAACTTTATCATTAAAACTATCTTCATTGAGTTACAATAAAATCCAGCTTCGTACTTATATTGCCTGCCCATTGAATTGTTTTTATCGAAAGGCCGTGGCATTTTGACCATGCGGTTGCAGCATAATTATTAGTTCTTTAATTGTGCGTTGAAATTAATTGTACATTTACGTCATATTATAAATATAGTACACATAAGTACTATATTTATTCAAAAACCTGTCAGAATATCATCAACGGACGACTTTTCAACTCACGATACCTACTTGGAACAAATTTACTTATTACTCCATATTATCGGGAGTAGATTGTGAAAACGTTTTTTTTATTATTATTTGTTTCATTCTGGTCCGTCACACTAACAATATCATGAAAAGTTTAACAGTTCCGTCCAGTGTGACTAGTGAAGATTTTTCTTGTAAGATTTGAGGCTTTCACGGCGGTGACTATTAAGAAAGCAGTCTTCTGGGATTTGGCACCGTGTATATGTGGTGTTAACCGACGTTTCGGAGGAACGTATCGCTTCCATCTTCAGGGTAGAAGGAAAAATATAAGAAATCTGCAAGCGAAGAGACCGTGAGAACAGGTAAAATCAGTCTGCCCTGAAGACGGAGGCGATACGTTCCTCCGAAACGTCGGTTAACACCACATATACACGGTGCCAAATCCCAGAAGACTGCTTTCTTCAAGATTTTTCTTATTTCAATTATTCATGTCCTTGCACGTTTCGGTCTTGAGAGACCATCATCAGAAGGACACCTTTACATCAATACAGTTGGAGGCTACTATCACAGTACATGTTCTAAACGTTAAAATGTATACATATAAAATAGGATACAATTGAGTGTAAAATCTAAGTCTTTACAACTACAGCGGCTGTTCCAATATTTTAAAATATTGAAATATGTAACATGTAACTTTGAAATATGTAACCGAAACATGTAAGGGCATAAATAATTGAAATAAGAAAAATCTTCACCAGTCACACTGGACGGAACTGTTTCACTTTTCAAAATATGCTATTAATGAAATGAAACAAATTATTCCAAATAAAAGGTGCATTAACTATATTTAGAATTTATTCAAATAATCTCTTATCTTATAATAAATCATACTTCTTAGTTGGTGGACTTCTATCGGACGACATGGCGCCACATTCCGGAAGATAGAATGATTCTTTTCGTGGTTATTTAACGAGACTGTACAGCGACGAACGACTGGGTGTGCAGGAATCTAGTGGAAGGGACGTGGAAGGAAACGGTGGTTGCCTACCTGTATGTACTGCCTTGGCAGCTGCGTGGAAGGAGAATAGCCACAAGACGGCTACGCGAGCCAAGGAAGATGCATCATAAAGAGCCTCACAATTGATTTTCTTCATGTTTTCTCTTAGGGCGTTTGTATTAAGAATGAAATTGACGCAACATGAACTAAGCTTGAATGAGATCTGAAATGCGTACATAATTTGGATCCGGAAACACCATCGAAATGGATTTTAATTCAAACAACAGGGCGTCGTGTTCTAGAATATGGGTAAACTGGCACAGGTTTGGGCCCGATATTAAAGCTCGGTGAATACAATATTGAACCTTCAGATTCCATACTAAGCGAGAAATTTCTTGAGCAGCAGAGCGACTATCAGTTTCTTCAGGTCGTTAGTATTCTGTCCCTGATGGAGAAATCTCGCTTGATGGAGCATGGAAACGTGTCGAACTGCGCTACTTCGGCAGCACATAGAACTAATGTATTTTGTAGATTAAGACTTCTAATTGCCTGTCACGGTAGCCGAGCGGTCTAAGGCATGCACTGTCTTCGTTCGCTCGGAAGCCGGGATCGTGGGTTCGAATCCCACTCAGGGCATGGATGTTTGTGTGCGTTTTTCTGTGTTTGTCTACAGGTAGAGGCCTTGCGACGAGCTGATCACTCGCCCAAGGAGTCCTACCGAATGTGTAAGATGTAGTAAACCGAAGTGAAACGGAGAGTTTCATGGAGGTAGGCCTAGGCCCAAATTGGGGCTGTAGCGCCACAGGAAAAAAAAAGACTTCTAATTAGATATTTGTGTTATGTCTTACAGAATAATATAACTAACTCACTCCTTGGAGCTGAGCCCCACTTGAGAAACCGTCGTTGCTCAGCTACTCAAGAAATTCTGAATATTTTTATGGAACCCGAAGTTCTATTACGGTGTTCACAAGAGCCCTTCGCTGGTCCTTATCCTGAGCCAGATCAATCCAGTCCATATCGCCCCGTCCTATCTCTCTGAGATCCATCTCAATATTATCCTGTCATTTACTTCTAGTTCTTCTTAGTGGTCTCTTTCCTTCTGGCTTTCCCACTACATTCCTGCACGTATTCCTCTGTGTCCTGACCATCTCGAAATTCTTTGCTTCATCATTCTGATTATGTTTAGCTACGAATACAATTTACGAACCTCCTCATTATGCAGTTTTCTCTAAACTCCTTACTTACTTATGGAGCTGAGCCCTTCTTGAGGAGCAACCAATTCTGCAGCTACTCAAGAATTTCCCAGCATTTTATGGAACCCGAAGGTTCATTACCATGTTCACAACAGCCCTACACTGGTCTCTAGCCTCAGCCAGATCAATCCAATCCATACCATGCAATTATATCTCTCTAAGATCCATTTTAATATTGCCCATCCACCTATGCCTTGGTCTTCCCAGTGGTCTCTTTCCTTTTGGCTTTCCCACCAATATCCTATAAGCATTCCACCTTTCTCTTTGGTGTAGTTGGTATTGGCCAGATGTGGCTGGAGGAAATAATAAGAGCAGAGAGTGTAGGATATCTCGAGTGCCATTTCCCCCACTACTCATGGGTCTTCTTTCCGTGACCTCAACATCGTGTAGAGTTTATGATTACATGTTCGTGCTTTAGTGCACAACCAAGCACAGAGATAACTTGAATTTTACTATACCGTTACAAAAGTATTATAATACATTTTCCAAAGAAATATTGACCACACAAAATTTCAAGAACATGCACTAGTGTCATTCCCCTTTACAAGTCTGTACGGCTGACTTATTGGTATTACCAATGACGTGAACTTGAAAGATAAGATAGTGCGAGTCCTATCTAATGGCACGATTGATCACCGGATGTTCTAAGAAAATCTGTAGATGCTTTCGATGTTTATTTGTACACGGACACATGAACGTCAAGATACCGTAATAATCTTCCGTATAACGTTAAGAAAGAACTCTTAATGGTTTTGTGCATGTCACTTGCCTTCTTATTTATTGCTATTGGGGTGGGACTAAGTCCCTTGTACTGCGGCCACTTCTGGCCTATTGTACCAGCCCCAGATGATAGGTGAGGGTGATTGTGGAGCAATTGGTGGAATGGAGATTGACAGGGAAAACCGAAGTACTTGGATAAAACCTGCCTCGGCGCCACTTTCTCCACCACAAATCCCACTTGACCAGACCCGGGATCGAACCCGGGCCACCACGGTGGGAACCCGCTTGAGCTATGGTGCGGCCTATCACTGGCCTTATTGGAATTTTTCTTTAGCGGAGTTTCCACTTTACGTTTACTTTTGTCTACCGTAAACTGTGGTCACTTAGTGACAAGCAGTGCTACAAAATGTTCTGGCACAATAAAATAAAATGTAATGGTGTATGGCACGAAGCTTCCCTCGCTGTCACCAAATTAACACACTATACGGCGCAATGAGAGATATACTTATTATTTTCGTTGCCATTTCAGGTAAAATGGGGAGCACAAATGTTGGAGAAGTAACCATCCCTCCTTGGCTTAATTACGAATTCGTGGCTGAGATTTTGTCGGAAAGAAAGGATAAACAAATCTTTGTCACAGATATGGATGTGAAAGCAGCTGTTGGAAGAGGCGACAACTACCTCAGCACACTCTACCGGATTACAGTGGAATTTATTGAAAGTAAAGATGGAAATGAAGTGAATAAATATGGCTTGGTTATCAAAACCTTACCAGATGGAGAGATTTTACAGAAATTAATACATGATATTCAGGGTTTCGAGAAAGAACTGCAGATGTATAAAATTACACTTCCGGCCATGTACCTCAAAATGATGGGCATGTCTACTAATGGAAATTTCCACCCCCTATCTGCAAGATATCTGCCATCTAAGAGGAAAGACACTATCGTGTTGGAAGATCTGCAGCATTTAGGATACAAAATGGCTAACAGACACACTGGTCTTGATTTGGAACACTGCAAGTTGACTGTGAGGGCACTGGCAAGGCTTCACGCTGCATCTGTGGCTTTGCATAAAACTGACCCTTCCAGTATTGATATGTATTCGGAGTTAATGTTCGCGGACACTGGAGAACAACGAGAAAACATGGAAAAGAGTTTTCAAAGCAATCTGAATGTTTTAGTTTCCAAGCTAGACGAATGGCCTGGGTATGAGCCCTATGCAAATAAAATTAGGAAACTGGTTCCTACCGCTGTGGACCGAATTATAAAATGTACCAAACCGAGGGAAGGTTCTCTAAATGTATTAAACCATGGAGACTGCTGGACAAATAACATGATGTTCCATTACTGTCCCAAGACTGGAGAAGTCGATGATGTAAGATTAATTGACTTCCAGTTAGTGAGGTTCTCATCCCCAGTGCTGGATCTTCAGTATTTTCTTTGCACGAGTACAAATGATGAAATCCGTTTCGGGCAGAGAGATCGTCTCCTGAGGGAATATCACGCCGAACTGAGGGATACGCTGGAAGACCTGAAGCTTGATCCTCAGCAGTACACACTACAGCAACTAAACGAAGATTTTGAAGAAAATGAAATATTTGGGCTGCTGATGGTTTGTACCTATTTAAGTGCAATGCTGGCCACCTCAATCGACGTGCCGGACTTCAGTGAGCTGAAGGAAGACTTTATGTTGGACGATGGTACACATCCTATGGAGAAGTTATTGGAGGGAAAGCGATTCAAGGAGGTCTTATATACGTTCCTTCATTATTACGAAAACAAGGGACTTATCTAATTTATATCATTAACATTGTAGTTAATCTATATAGTTGATGTTGAAAAGCAAAAAAGGAAAATGTAATTTGGAGGGGTAGAATTTACTGGTCTAAATCGAGTGCTGAATTCAAGAAATGGACGTGTTGCTAAACACACGGGATCCAGAAAAAAACATACGTAGTAGAGTCATTAAGTTCGTGGAATGTGGTTTTATCGCATCATATTACAAGGTATTCACAAACACAAATATAAATCACTCCGTCCAATGTGATCTGTAAGTTTTTTACTACATGAAAACTTAACACCCTTACATGTTTCGGTCTCTGTGGACCATCTTCAGAGGGCAAACATCACTACAAATAGGAAACCACCATCACATAGGTTGTTTAGACGTAAAGTACGTACATTTATATGCTACAATGCATAGTACACGAAATAGAACATTTCACAAACACAGCAGTTTCCTGGGAATGTAAAGTTTTTAAAAAATTATATAAAATTTCTTGATGCTAATTAATTTTTTTTTTTGTCAATAATTAAAATTCGTAAACCATGCGGGCTCGTGTTCGTCCTCCCATCGCCCCTCTTATATGGGGCAGATATTGTGTCACCGGCTATCTTGATGTGGACGTTCTTTATATCTTCCAGGGTTTGCTCGTGGCTGCTGTGCTGTGAAAACACAGAGACCGAAACATGTAAGGGTGTTAAGTTTTCATGTAGTAAAAACTTACAGGTCACATTGGACGGAGTGATTTATATTTGTAATTGTTAGTGTGACGGACCAGAATGAAACAAATCAAACTTATTCCCAAACACTTACACAGATCCACATCGGCCCTCAAAATAGTTGCCGTTGGCCGCTATGCAAGTCTTCCAACATAGATATAGCTGCCGAAAACATATTGACAGGAAATTCCCGTACGGCGTCTCTTGTGGCATTGACGACCTCCTCGGACGACTGAAATCTACGACCACGTAGCTTTGCTTTCAAGCGGTGAAAGAGAAAGAAATCGCACGGTGCGAGATCAGGTAAGTACGGAGGGTGTGGCAAAACGGTGACCTGTTGCCTTGCCAGTTCCTCTTGGACAAGAACATAGCGATATGCAGGGGCGTTGTCGTGTAGCAACAGCCAATTCTTCCTACGCCAAACATTTCGCTAGGGGATTTGCCTAGTTTTTGGCAGAAGTTAATGTCTGCTCGTTGTTCAAACTGCCACATTTTCTATTTCCGCCACTACCATTTAACTGCAGTTCACAATAGAGGCCGTAGTTCTGTTTAACTGTTTGCAGACAACTGCCTCTTGCTGTGACGAGAGATGAACTGACAGGGCATCATATCGTGCCTCAACCTATCCGCTGTAATGCATTGCAACGACGCTTTGCGGCCATTCCACGAACTTATTGACTGTGATTGTATGTACGTATATATGACCCTTTTATAAAGAGTGATCCTAACTGAAGCCCTGCTATTTCAATATATTCAACACTTTACAAAATATGACAACACGAATGCGATTTTTATCAGCACTCTGATCACTTCATCAGCCTATGTTGCTATTTCTTTCTTACACTGTTGTTACCTCTACATGTTTCATATACATTTAAACGTTTCGTTGCAACATTCTACTGCTTTTCAGAGCAGACATTTTGTTTCTCTGTCATTATGCTTTCCTCACAGGTTGATTTGTTACGTTTTCTTTATAAAGTCTAATTCAAGTTATAACACTATACATGCAAAATAAATGAAAAGCGAAAAAAGTACGGATAATTAAACGAAGTGCTTTATGGGTAGACATACATCCATACTTTTACAGCACTCTTTTCAGTTGTGCATGTTCTAAAATCATAAAGACAAAAATAAGATTAGCTCAGCCTAGGCGCAAGCATGACAGGCAAAATCGTGAAGCTTTCCATAATTCTTTTATAGAGGAGCAAATAACAATGGAAACTGACGAGCCTATAAATCCATATGCATACACAAGCCTTAGCAATAATATAACATGTGACGCAAGACATTGAAATATATTTCAGTGTGTCTCGAAATGGATAAGATTGCGAAACACTAATATAGAAAGAAAATAGGGAAATAGAGAACAGCTCCACATATAAACATATGTATTTTTTTTATTAATTTTAGAAGAACGAGATTAATTACATGGAAATAAGAATACATCTTATAAAACTAAACAAATAAAATGAAGAAAGCAGTCTTCTGGGATTTGGCACCGTGTATATGTGGTGTTAACCGACGTTTCGGAGGAACGTATCGCCTCCATCTTCAGGGTAGAAGGAAAAATATAAGAAATCCGCAAGCGAAGACACCGTGAGAACCGGTAAAAGCAGTTTCTCGAACTTCTCTTCAGTACTTTCAGGAGAATGCCACAATAAATTAGCTCAGTTAGCTGAATAGTTGAGATCCATAAATTCATTAATTCTATTTGGAATAAGAAATAGTCGCCTAATCACCGCAAGCGTCTACTGTTGTACCAATTTACAAAAAGGGCGATAAAACAGAGTGTAATGTTATCGAGGCATGTCACTATTACCACCTTCGTACAAAATATCATCCAATATATTTCTCTCATGGTTAATTCCGTAAAATAAGGTGGGACTCCGAACTGAGAATCACAGTACTGGCGAGGGCCAGCAGTAATTCAGCAGTCAGAAGCTCTAGCTGCCTCTGATAAGAAGGCTGGTCCAGAAGTTAACGCAGAGAAATCTAAGTAGGTTCACACGTTTACGTCTCGTCACTAGAAAGCAGCGCAAAATCATAGTATAAATGAAGCTAACAGATTCTTTCAGAACGTGGCAAAGTTCAAATATGTCGGAACCACGGCTTTACTAACGAAATTAAGAACAAACTAGATTTGGGTAATGCCTCCTTCCATTCAGTTCAGAACCATAAGTCTTTTTGTCTACTGTCTAAAATCTTAAAAATTAGAACATACAGAACTATAATTTTTCCTGTAGTTTTGTATGGGTGTGAAATTTGGTCTCTGAAATTAAGGGACGAAGATACAGTTCAGATATTTGAGAACAGGGTTCTATGGAGAATATTTGGACCGAAGAATGATCAAACTGTGGGAGAACTGGGAAAACTACACAAAGAGGAGCTTCATAACATATACTCTTCTCAAAATATAATTAGAATAATGAAGGCAAGAAGGATAAAATTGGTGGGGCATGTAGCACACAAGGTGTCGAAAATTAATGCATATGCCTATACGATTTTGGTGGGAAAACAAGAAGGAAAGAGACCACTAGGAAGACCCAGGAGTAGATGGGAAGATAATATTAAAATAGATCGTAGATAAGTTGGGGTGGTATGGGTTGGATTGATCTGGCTCAGGATACAGATACGTGGAGGTCACTTGCTAACACGGCAACCATAAAATTCTAGGGAATTCTTGGGTAGCTTGCTCCACGCCAAATGTAATGGTTACTCCGCCAGATAAATAAAACATGAAGCCAAAGAACGTCTAACAATTTATAGCAGAAGTAGGAAAATATTATCCATAAATGACTCTGTCCTCTGCAGTTTGATGTTTTTTTTTCTCCACACCAAATGTAAAGACTATGCTGTCATGACTTACTCACTCACTCATGGAGCTGAGCCCTTCTTGAGGAGCCGCCAATTCTGCAGCTACTCAAGAACGTCCCAGCATTTTATGGAACCCGAAGGTTCATTACCATGTTCACTAGAGCCCTCCACTGGTCTCTATCCTGAGCCAGACCAATCCAATCCATATCATCCCATCCTATCCTAGCTCTCTAAGATCCATTTTAATATTGTCCACCCACCTACGCCTTGGTCTTCCCAGTGGTTTGTATCCTTCTGGCTTTCTCACCAATATCCTATACGCATTCGTCTCCCCCATTCGTGCTACATTCCCTGTCCACCTCATCCTCCTTGACTTGATCATTCTAATTATACTTGGAGAAGAGTACAAGTTTTGAAGCTCCTCATACTATGATGACTAGGTTGCCTAAATAAATACCTCAGCTATTTAATCCACAATATATGTAATTGTTACCCCAACATGAATGAGTCCTTCAGAATAAGGCAGCAATTATTTTCCCCCAAATTACACTTAATGGATATACCCATAATTCGGTCTTCGAGAATTGCGCAATGTCATTTCCTCTGCGTAGATATAATGGTTACATCACCACGTCCCTCTGCTCACAAACTGTCATAATGCTATGACCTCTGCAACACGACTCACAGTACTACCGAACCTTACTGCCAGCACTCCATTGGAGCTGAATTTGACAACATATTCGTCCGTATCCGTTACATTCATTCTACCAGTCTTCACTGGAACTGCACAATCTAGGTACTAAGCAGAGCTGTGCTCGGTTCGAAGTTGTCGTGGTGGTGCTTACGAAGAGCGCGGTTTTCTGGCTTGTAAAGCCGAGAGAGTTTATCTTGCCGCCTCGTTTGGTGGTTCCTTGCTTGGCTTACTCTTAAACTCTGAAACTTCTTAAACTCGAAACTATACGGCGATAGAATATCATACTCTTCATAATTAATAGACCGTTTAAAATACACAGGTAAACAGTAACTTGACCATGAAGGAAGTTACAACCATGAAATAAGTTGTTGTATAGGTCTGCAGAGGAAAACTATTACTTGCACAGTAAAGGTAATGGCACACCAAGGAAACTGGCAACCGCAACGCAACCGCAATTTCCGAAACATTTTATCAGCCTGAGTTGAACACATGTTATTGAATGGAGCAGGGCAGCTTGAGGAAACGGCAATGCATCTCGCAGAAAGACTGAGAAACTCAACTTCCAGGCAACAAAGCATGCCAGTCTTCTCACAATTGCGTTGCCGCGTGGTTTCCTAGTATCACCTGTTATATAACGCGCGTCAGTCATTTATTTGTTTCATAAGAGGGCACGAAATTTGCCGAAGCTAATAATTTTGTTTTTGTGCAGTTAATTGAGCAAAAGTCTGGTATATATGATAAACACCACACAGACTATGCTAGGCAGGATAAAATATATCTTGCTTTGGAAAGAATTTCTCATGAGACGAAGGAGTCTGGATCCATGTTTAGTTCTTTCGAAATAATATAAGAGCCTCCGTTTAAATTATCACAGAAGAACGGATGCACCCAATTTTTTCTTTTCTTAATACTGTATTTAAGCATCCTGTTGCATGAATATATAATTTGTTTCACATATATTTCCGTTTTAAATGCAACTTATTATATAGTTAACCTTCTTCCATATTACATGGTTCAGCTGTGTACGGCCATCATCAGGTGTTGTCTATCTTGCTAGAACTGTTGCACTGTATGTCCAAATCTCGTATTGCATGTGAACGCGATATTCCGTGATTAAAATAAACTGACCTTACTTAAAACAACTTCACAATATTTTCCTTATGGTCGTCGTCCTCTCTTCTCACTCCTTCTCAACAGGTCTCAAATAGCACCATATTATGACAGGATCAGTATTATTGTCTTCCGCTGCAGAAGGCAAGAGCACGAAATTAAAATATACAATTACTCATTATGTCGGTCGAACATACTCTCTTAAGATGATTTCAGCAACTCATCAAACATAAGTTTCCTCAGTGTGCGCCTGCGAATCTGGACACCAGGTGCCTGTTTGAAATCGGCGATATTTCTCGGAAATCGTGGTTGCGTTGCGGTTGCCAGTTTTCTTTGTATGCTCTCGGCCTTAGAGTCCAAATAAACCCCACAACTGAAAACATTCTGTAGTTTTCATTCACTATTTACTGTACAGAGAGGAGCACTGCCCAGGCATCTTGATGAAACGCCAGTGCTGAGAAGAAACAGATCTCCATCCCCTACCCTATCACGTCTACCTGCGCGCTTATCACATGCTGCTCAGGGTGGGACGTAATAATAACAGTTAATGTGTGGCTGTTGTTTGTAGGATACTTAAAACGCACTGTAAGACCAGACACAAATAACTTGCATTTCCTGGCAGAGGTAGGAAATATGCAGTTGGGCATGTGAGTATGTACTTGTGATAGGGTGGGTAATATTTGGGAACGACGATAACAAATCAAAACCTGATTCAGAAGGAACTTAAGAGGAGACTGAACTTGGGTAATGTTTGCTACCAATCAGTCCAGAAACTTTTGCCTTCTCGTCTGCTGTCCAAAAACATAAAAATTGCAATATACAAAAATATAATTTTGCCTGTGGTTCTGTATGGGTGTGAAACTTGGTCTCTGACATTAAGAGAGGAACATAGACTGAGGGTGTTTGAAAACAGGATACTGAGGACAATACTGGGACTGAAGAGGGATGAGGTGAGGGAAGGTTGGAGAAAACTGCACAATGAGGAGCTTCATAAATTGTACCCTTCTCCAAGTATAATCAGAATGATCAAGTCAAGGAGGATGAGATGGACAGGGCATGTAGCACAAATGGATAAGAGGAATACATATATAATATTGGTGGGAAAGCCAGAAGGCAAGAGAACAATAGCAAGTCCAAGACATAGGTGGGTGGACAATATTAAAGTAGATCATAGAGAGACAGGGTGGGAGTATATTGATTGGATTAATCTGGCTCAGGATAGAGACCAGTGGAGGGCTCTTGTGAACACGGCAATGAACCTTCGGGTTCCATAAAATGCTGGGGAATTCTTGAGTAGCTGCACAATTTGTCGCTTCTCCAGAAGGGCTCAGCTCCATGAGTGAGTGAGTGAGTGAGTGAGTGAGTGAGTGAGTGAGTGAGTGAGTGAGTGAGTGAGTGAGTGAGTGAGTGAGTGAGTGAGTGATAGGGCTTGTAATTAAACATCAAAGAAACAATGTTGTATGCATGTGCGGTAGAGTGTGTAAGTAAATACTGATGAAACAGACTGTGTATGTAAATATGATAATATGTGGGAAGTAATGCTGATGAAGTAAACAGTAGGCTATGTCCATATGATATCAGTAAGTGATGATGGAAGTGTACAGTGACCTACGCGCTTGTATGTACGAATGAGAGTCACTAAATAGGTCACGAATAGAAGTAAAACAGTTGTAATGGACGTAATAGGTTTTCTAGGTCTATCATTAGATAGCAGCACAGCCCAGCTTCATTACAGCCTAGGTACCATGCGCATGTTCAGAGGCTGGTTTCAGTAGTCAAAATGGCGACTGTATAGGGTGCGTATCCTACCGAAGAGCAGTGTTCTGTTGTGCGTTCTTTGTGGGCAAAAGGACTCAAATGCAAATGGTATTCATAAAGAAATGTTTCCTGTTTACGGTGGAAAGAGTCTGTATCGTAAAGCAGTTCATAACTGGGAGAAAGTGGAAGATGTTTCGCTGATGACGAAGAGTTGAAAAGGAGGCACGGAAATGGGTGAAACAACAGACAGAAGATTTATATTCTGTGGGTTTCGATGCACTGCTAAAGCGATGGGACAAGTGTATCAGTGTTGGTGGAGGATATGCCCAGAAATAAATATCCTTTTTTTCCAGGTTCGAATATCATATGTTTTACATTTAATATCCATATGTGACCTATTTACATACTGTCCCTCATATAATAGTACATACAGCTGATTGATAATCAATGTTGACACGCGCAGGGCAGCCATTAAGGACAACACTCTTGAGCTATTCAATAATTTATTCCCAGTTCCCAGGATTTTCATTCACTTGAAGCAGTGAATGAAAGAAGTCCTTTCTTCTTCGATATGCAGTATGGCACCGTCCTAATTCCAACCCCCTCCCTTAATTAACTGCCCGTGTCAACTTTAATTTACATTCGTGTCGGTTCTAAAGCTCCTGCTTTACATGAAGTTACCCTGCAACGTAATCAGTTTTATAAAGAAATGTAACTTAAATGTGTGAATTTTATTTTAAAAATCATTAAATAATGTGAGCATTTAGGGTAATGGAAGGAAGCAGAATTTCTAACTACGCAGTGTGAACGTATGTTGTCCAACGCTATTACATCTGAAACACCAGATCTACATCCGAAATAAAATTATGTCTCTGCTAATATGTGTCCAAAGTAGCAAGGAAAGATTTATCTAATATCTGTAGTTGCGCCCATTTTAATAAGTAATACCAATAACCAATATGTGGTGGGACTTTGCCATTCTTGTTTCTAATAAACGTAGTGCGATTCCGTCAATGTCATGTGCACACCCGTTTTGCCAAATTAGTACTAATTTACGACAATCTAAGCAACATTGACAGCTATTTGTTATTGTAACTCGTGAGTAACGCCATGCTGTCGACTCCGGAATTCTTATTCCCTCCCCCCTTCAATCTCTGTCATGGGGGACCATGCAGCCCTCGACGCTTTTCTAACAGTTCGAGATAGTTTCAAATATCCCGTCAGAGTGCAGGAAACGACAGTTCAAACGAATTTGATTAAATTAAAATCGTGCACGGACACCGCATTTTCTTACGGATTGTCCTCTCTTTTGCAAAGTGCGGAAGTGAATGTGTAGTGCCCGTCATAAGCACAAATATATTAGGGCTTAACAAAGGCCTACCGTTCTTAAATTTTTTAGTTTGTTTTGCTTTAGTTAGTTTTGTCCACCAGCAAATCCCCATATGACCTGACCTGTATGTAATGAAATTAGCACCACATATGAATTAATAATTATACAATTTCGTACAACTAAAATAATGGGACTACAGCTATGAAAATATATTTTATTGTACTATTTGGAAACATAAATTACTTTTAATAGATTACAGGAACGTTCCCTCCTTATGCTAAATACAAGCTCCGTTTGTAGTGTTCTTTGCACATGAGTACGTAAAGTAAAAAGTAAAGCTATCCCTGTAACAAGCCGTGAAGGCCCATGGGGTTGTGAGACGTCGAGAGTCCCACATTTTTCTTTCGACAATCGGCTCATAGATGGCAGTAACGTTGTCAGCCTTATGCTCCGGCCGCCTTTTACTCCCCCAGGAAGATTCCTGGTACTCATTTATGTTAGAGGCTGAGTCGACCCCAGGGCCATAGTACGGCCATAAGGATTAGGTACATTGAAAAAATCCACCTCATCTGGACTCGATCTCGCGACCTTCCGGCTTGTAGCACAGTGCCTCACAACGAACATACAGAGGGAATAATTATTTAGTTACTATTTAATTAAAGCTTCAGTACAGTATAAACACTACCGCTGTCTCGCCGGACAAGGACTCTGCTGGTTGTATGAACAAAGGACAGCGGTAACCTGCCTTGTCATTTGGCTCATCCACGTCTCAGTTAGGGGTGCTAGAGATAGGATTTAAATAATGAAATAAGAGTACCTGTGAAAGTAAATATTCTTGTCGAGTCCAAGAGTTTGGCCTTACAGAACAGATCTTCCGTAAATTACAGTTTGCTCTACACGCAGTGAAATGTGCAAAACACGAACTAAACTGTTGTTTTCACTGTTCCTGGCTGGGATAAACAAGCGAGAGAACACACTCTTTATAATATCGCGTTCAAAGAGTTTTCTTCTTTGTTTCTTATCTTATTAATGACAATTTTATTTAAATTTGAGTAAGTCACAATGCTTACCTTGCAAGAGAATGAAGATTGTAGTCGGGTTGAACATCTTGCTTCTTCTATGGTCTGCTAACATTGTAACAGATATGTCGAGTCTGGCATGCATGACAAATTTTTACCTCATGCCTAGGTCATTCGTACATTTATAATATTGTGCTAGTAAGTACAATAATATTACTGAGATGCATTATTAAGTTTCGCTTAAAATAATAAATGATTGCACATCCAGTTACAACTGGACTGAAGGAAATTGTTTAGCATTACGAATAATTTATAAGTGGTGTGATTAACTTCGAGTTAAGCGGTTAGTCGCTGGCTTCCCACCGCGGCGGCCCGGGTTCGATCCCGGGTCTAGTCAAGTAGGATTTGTGATGGACAAAGTGGCGCAGGGGCAGGTTTTCTCCGAGTACTTCGGTTTCCCCTGCTAATCTTCATTCCATCAATTGCTCCACAATCACCCTCGCCTATCATCTGGGGCTGGTACAGTAGGCCAGGAGTGGCCGCAGTGCAAGGGACTTAGTCCCACCCCGAGGGGGCCGCGCCATAGCTCAAGCGGTTAGTCGCTGGATTCCCACCGCGGCGGCCCGGGTTCGATCCCGGGTCTGGTCAAGTAGGATTTGTGGTGGACAAAGTGGCGCTGGGGCAGGTGTTCTCCGAGTACTTCGGTTTCCCCTGCCAATCTTAATTCCATCAATTGCTCCACAATCACCCTCCCCTATCATCTGGGGCTGGTACAGTAGGCCAGAAGTGGCCGCAGTACAAGAGACTTAGTCCCACCCCACTAACATTAAAAAAAAAACTTTGAGTTAACGGCAGAATATATTTCATTGACAACTGCAGTAACATTTCATTTGTGTGTGACAATGGGGCCGGGCTATACAGTCAAATAATAAGCTCGACGCAGAAACAAACACGGGTTTCCAAGGCCTGCGTTACATGAAGACACAAGTCATGACAGCACAGGAGATGCCATTTCCAGCCCAGCTGACTGGAAGAACCAAATCAGGGTGACTTACCCGTGTAGATGAATTCATTTGTGTCGCTGTGCGTCCGCCATTGCATGGCGGATCCGTGTTGCAGGTTGTGAACCTGGCCACCTCTACTGCTGCTATTGTTGCTGTTGCTTCCGACGGCAGCTGTTGAGTGATTGTTTCCGGTCAGAACATCGGTACGCCCTGGCTTGCGGAAAGTGACAGACCGATCCCTGATGTTGCTAGTGAACAAAAATAAATGAACAATTGAAGAAAGAAATTTGAATCGAAACACTGCTGTGCGTGTGTTTGTGTTCCGCAATTTAGTGTCTCGTTCTGTAGTTGTTCTCAGTGATACAGACACAGTAGCTTTATTTGGAGCGAAATTAGGAGCTAGGAACCGGGTTCCTTATCTTTATTGGTTGCATCCTGTTGTGTGTTCCATATATATATATATATATA